ATTAAAATTAATTTTATAAATAAAATAATGGACAAAATATTTGGTAAGTCATGCAATTGAAATTTTTATATAAAAATTTAAAATTATGTTGGAAAATTTTTATTTGGAGGCGTTGATCAATTTCAGTTTGGGGCGGAACAGTCCACTGCTATAATTGTTAAATGAGTAGTATTTATTTTTTATTTTTTATCTTTTATCCTCATTAAATAAAAAAAAATAGCAGTAGTTTAAATAGAAATTATATTATTAACGTTAAATAAATCAAACTTAAATATTATTTATATTGAAGGATAACTAGAAATTGTATTATTAAATTTAATAAAGCAAACCAAAAGATACGACGGTCCAATTTATCCAAAACAAATATGAGTATATTTAGAATAGTACTAACTTTTCTACATGTTTTAAAAATTTGTATAATGTGATAATTTTTATATATCAGTTCAATCGTTATGAAATAATACAATTAAAAAAAAAAAAAACTCCATCTAGTATAATTTTTTATAGTATGGTCTACCTTTTTAGAAAGAATACTCAGTACTTTTTAATTCTAATTTGATTTCGACAAGTAATATCTTCATAAAAATATATATACATTTTATACAAATAATATCTTCATAAAAAAATATGTCCTTTTTAGAATGATAATATAAAATTTGGCATTATATTAAGCGAAAATTGACATTTCCTCCCATATATATATATATATATATATATATATATAACCTAATAAAGTTTTAAAAGATATGATAAATTATTTTGCATCTCATTTATCATGAAGTAATTATTAAAAGTGTTCTTTACATTTATTGTCAAGTCACCCGATCAAATAATTATTACATGTAAAAAAATCATTTAAAACAGTAATTTACAACAACAACAAAAAAAATCCAAAAATTAAAATTGTAATTTGCAACAAAAAAGTTCAAAACTTGTGAAAGAATTGTATATTAATTATGCGTATCTCTTATTATTTATTAAAAAATAAAATAATGTATTACTAAGAAAAAATGCGGATATTTTTTTTCCCTAAAACTCACTAAAAACTTTTTAAAAAATGTTCCGAATAAAAATAATTTGAAATAAATTTTCGCATTTTGCTCTTTTAAGTAAATTCTTAACCTTTAAATATATAGATTGTGTAAAGTTAGATGGTAAAAAGTCGTAGAAATTTGTATATAGCAAAGTATTTTAATACAATTTAGTTAACATGTTTGAAACTATCTAAAATATTATATGTTATTCTTGAATGGTAGGTATTATATTTTATGAAAGGTTTTCTATTAATCTCAAGTGACATAGATGCTTCAAATAAACAACATATATATATACATATAAATAAATATGTATCAATATATAAACAACATATAAGTCATATTTCAATTTGTATAACAAGTGTAATAAATTTTATTGAATGAAGTTATAGTAGTATCAATAATCAAAGATTCATTCTTTTTAGGTGGTGGGTTAGTTTTTTTAGAAATTAATAAAAAAATATTAATTATTTTGAAGTGGCAGGTTGTGAGAAATATATATTAATAATAATTCTTGAAAATATACTTTTACAATATTGACGTGATCAACTACGGACTCACCTATATCGAAAGCTTGTTCAAATCGAATGAGCGCTGATGCAGGTGATGCAGCCGACGTGGATATGATCAACTAGGGACTCACGGATAAACCCCACGTGTGTTCAAATCGAAAGAGCAACCACAGACTTATAAACCCGAAAAGAGCACCTACGTGTTACAACAGATGTCAAAAATCTGTGTCCAGCATTAACGCAACATAAGACAGGATGTCATTAAATTCATACAAATTACTTATAAATAAATTAATTTTTAAATTGTGTAATAAAAATGAACATAATTTTCTGCTCACATTGCCATACAAATTGTACCGGTTTAAATTTAATTGTTGTCGTATCAGTTAAACACATCCTATTACTCATAACTCATGTGATGAGACGACTAACTATGTGATACACGTAATCAAAAGTCTAGTGACATATCTACTCATGCCTACTTATGCAACATATGCTCAAGAACATATCAAAGATTAACAAATTTCATATATGTTTGGTGTAATACTATACACATCCATTATTCCACAAAAATAAAATTAAAACATACGCAAACAAATAATCGAGTAACTAGTCGGGTTCGAGTGGAGTAAAATGTATGTGAGTCAACTAAAAGCCGCACCCGGATTCAATTTACATTGATTAGCTATTTTAATAAACTAAAGCTTATCTTATAATATTTCTTTGGTAGTTTAAAAAAATCGTTGGAAGTTTTATTTTAACTGATTTATTAATTAATTTTATTAAATATTTTTTTATTTAATTTGTTTTTCAGCCATTAGTTATCCTATATAACCTTAAACTTGAAATTTATTTATAATCAATTAAATTATCATATATCATTTAGCTTAGATATTTCACTAAACGTATATCATCTTCCACTCTGATCCTTCGAAACCACCGTGAACCTCCGTCTGTCTCCCTGTCCGTAGCTCCTCGCGGCCATCTCCACCGTCCACTAGAGCTTCTCGATCTTGCTTTCTCTGCCAGGTACTTTGCCTTCGTCTGCTTGTTCATCTCGTTGTTTGAAGCTGAAGCGTAAATTTCAGTCCAGTTTATTGTCGAACGTTCTGATTTATCCTTCCATTTTCATCAAATTCCCCGCTCCGCCTTTTCGTGATCGATCGAATTCCGACATTTTTCGAAGGCATCGTGCTTGTCAAATTGATCCCTATCTTTTTCCAAAACATAATGCCCATTTGTTTTTTAGGGTTCTTACGATAAATCAAGTAAATTTATGTTTTTGGTATGTGATATTTGAGGCTGGATCACTGAGAACAATGTCTCTTCCGGTCTATTATATTGCCTATGCTTTAGTTGCCTGTGATAAGTTGTTAGGATGATATATAGTTGTATACTTGTTTTAACAGCTCGTATAGGGAAAAATGGTTTAATTGTGACTGTTGAATTAGGAAGGATGGTGTTGTTTATGATGAATTTAATTTTTTGAGTTCTGGGTTTTTTTTTTAATTATTATTATTTGAGAAATTTCTTCGTTGCTCTATCGATTTTTACTTTGTGTTGGTAGGCGAAACAGTAAATGCTAAATAACGGAGCTCAATTGATTGCGTTGTCTGGTTTGTTTTCAAGCATAACTGGCTATGTAGTTTCTGTTTGGGAGTTGTGAATTGTCACATTTTTGTTGCTCATTTTTTTCTTTCTTCCTTTATTTTTTCTTAAAGAATTCCCATTTGATGTATTGATCCAAACACAGGTTTTGCTGCATAATCGGTTCTAGAAAATGGAGGAGCAGTCTTTTCTGAACAAGATCATGCTTAATCTTCGTGAAAACTGCAAGTATGTTCCGTAATCCGAGCGATAGGCGAACAGCAAATGTACAAATTGTTTTTTTTTTTTTGGTTACTGTTTTGCATTTTATTCCAAAATTTATGTTGTAAGTGAACATTGTGTGGCATATGGGATTTCACCTGCGGTGGTCGTTTGATGTTTTGTTTAACCACAAGATTTTATCTTGTGTTTTCCTTTTGCTTCATTGGGTTACATCACATGAGGACTTTTGCTTTAAAACTTTATTAAGGAATTCACTCTTATCGTGAATTTTTGTAATGATGTGGAAGGAACTTATATTTGCTTTTACATAGATCAGTGTATTATATATTTTTGCTTGCATTAATTGCTAGTTCTTTTTTTTCTTGAACATTTTTCTTCATTTTCAGAAGTAGTTGGTTAGATAAAACTGTATCTTTATCACGATGCTATATAATGAATATCGCATGCGTGTGTGTACACATGAGTATTTAAAGTTAAATCTGTAGTTATTTCATGTTGGAGCTACTTGTCAATTGACTCTCCATCTTTTCACATAAAATGTAATGCCTGTGAAACACAAAGATACTATACCGGTTACCCAAAGGATCTTGGACCATCAAAAGTTATGCATTTTACCTCAGAGCGTGAGTTCGTGCAGCTCCTTCACCAAGGCGTTCCGGTGGTTGTCGCATTTACTGTAAAGTATGTTCGCTGATTTTTTTTATTTTTATTTATGTTTGTTTACAAACTCGGTTAATGATTTGTGAATACTCAAGCTCAGAGTTTTACTGTTCACAGGCATAGCCTTACCAAACGCCTCGACAATGTTCTGGAAGAAGCTGCAGCCGAGTTTTATCCACATGTCAAGTTTTTGCGTGTAAGTTCTTGGAATGTGACTTGAAATAATCCAAAATCATCTTATATCAAGAAAACTGTTTATGATAGAATTAAATGATCTTCAGCTTAGTTCTGCTGCATCCCTTTAACCTGTATTATTTGATCTTGTTGTGACTTGGTTTTTTTCTGCGTGCATTAGTGAATGTTCCTATTACAATAAAATATAATGAAATCCCTCGTTTTGCACATGACATTTTTCCTATGCGAAGTAAGGATATCTCTTCATTCGGTAGTTATACAATCTTGTAACTTTACATGGATAGTTCTTATTTGGTGATTCATTTTCTGGTGTTGGCTTCTTAGGTTGAGTGTTCAAAGTATCCTGGATTCTGCATAACTCGCCAGAAGCATGAGTATCCATTTATAGAAATCTTTCACAGCCCAGAACAGGTTAATTTGATCTTTTACCATTCTTCATTATGAATTTCTGAATCAAGAAAAAGAGATTCTTCAGTTAGAAGATCATTTACTTTTGATATTTCAACCGAATACCTTGGGACCATCACATTGATATAGTAATTAATCACTAATTATGTGATTACTTGCTTGATTGACTGATATTCAATTCATAATTGCTTATTTCTGGCTTAGGAAAGCTAAAAAAATTATGAGGTGCGATCTTTCAGTGTAGATCTCTTCATAGTAATTCCGAACAAAGCTTGGTAACTAACTAACTATAGCTGTTGATAGTTTTTGGTGAAAGTCTGAAAACCACCCAAAATTGAACTGTTTTTAGATAAAAGCTTGTGATTCCAGTTTGGAATGGAACCAGAGAATATTTCGCGCGAAAATTAGAATAAATATAGTAAACCCACGCCTTCTGTTTTGTCAGTCCTCCCGGTGGTTCAAAAGCTTGGATAACCGTAACATGCCTGTCCAGGTTCATCTGTTTAAAAAAGAAAAATGGATTGCTGATATTTTTTTTTTTTTTCATTTTCTTTAAATATCTTCATGTTGACAAAACATCCATGAATATCGTCCAGTCTAAACTGATTTCATTGTGTAGCTATGTTATGGTGATGCCTTTCAATGTAAAAACGAGCTTGTGCTGGTATTTTTAAACAGGCATCTAATGAAGGAAAGGCTGTCGACCCAAACATCACAAAATACTCCGTCAAAGTTTTACCTGTAAGTCTTATCACCATACCCCAATTTATCATAATTCATGCATATTGATATTCTCGTGGTTTTATTATATTGCCTTAACATTGTGATGTACATATAAAGTTGGTTAAATGGTCATGAACTCAGCTATTAACAATGGCTCACACACACACACACACACTCTCATTTACAAATGTGATTCTGTAAGATATACCTGTTTAATGTATTTGTTTGGTTCGACTTGGCAGTACAATTATGACGTTAGTCCTTACGGATTCAGAGAGTTTTTCAAACGCCACAGAATTCAAGCAACCGACCTAAGTCGATAATCATGATTCTTCTTTCATAGATTTGAATGAGTTTATGTACGTGTGTTTATTGATGGTGCCGGATAGAATCACGATTGTATCCGTATGCAAGTGTTCACTTTCTTAGCTTCTTAACAGCTGCTTTCTAATTTATGAGATGAACTCCAGATTTTTGGTGAAATCGTAACTGATATTTCGAATTTCAACTCTTAGGGCGTCTCCAATGGTTGGCTATTTGGCTAACTATTATGACGTGGACAAGGGAAAAGTAAGAGAGAGAGTAGTCACTAGCTACTAACAAATAGCTTATCTATTTCACGTAGCCCAAGATTATGTGAGAGGAGTATGTGGGTCCAATAGTTTAAAATAGTTATTTTTCTTATCTCTCACATCCACGTCAGCTAACCATATAGCTAGTAATAACTATTACTATTGGAGATGCCCTTAACAGATTTAGAAAAACATACATTCCAATGCAAATATTTTACTTACTTTTGAGATAAGTAGTATTTCCAAAATGAAATTTAATTTGTATACTTATTTCGAGATATGGTGTTTTCAAAATGAATATATTTATATAATATTTTAAAATTTCTATATATTATTATATTGAAATATATATGTTTAAGAAGTATCCCTGACATTGATTTGTTGAATGTGGCAATTGGATACCATTCCTTTTTTTTATTATTATTTTTTTTTAAATGCTTGTTAGTTAAAATTTATTTATTTATCTCATGGAAACAAAAATCCAAAATTTATGGCACAAAGATAATATTCATTATTTAACTTTTTTTCTTTCTACTACTAATC